GATAAATATTTTATAAAAAAATGATAATAAACAATTTTTATTCAATTATATTTATTTTTCTCCATATTTCATATTATCTTTATTTTTCTCATCTTTTAGTCATTAAAAGTAATCTTCAACAACACAAAAACAAGAAAATGATTAAAATGGTATGAAATAAGTGAGGATAAAAATGATAAAAATAAAACATAAAGGACTAAATTAAAATTTTTAAAAGAATTTAAAGTGGTATGTGCCCCCTCAGGTCCACTTTGGCTCTGCCCGTGACCTGAAGGCGTTGCTCAGTATTAAGCCACACTTTATATTGGGAAGGAAAGTTCAAATTTCTTACTTGTGGGCACTACAGGGAAATCCGAAAGGAAAGAGACATTAGAAAAAGGTTAAAATTAAGGTTGAGTACATAGATATTGATGGGTATTGAAAATGAGATGACAGAGGTGCATATATCTTCCAAATTAATATTTTCTGCAACAGATTTTAACTGAGTGCCGCATAACACATCCGTACGTGTCAAAGGTAATGGCTTCTCTTAATCCAATGAAAAATGTTTTGTACTTTGAATTATAAATTTTTTTTTTGTATTTTAATATGTATAGACTAATTTATACATTATTACACAATTATAATATAAATAATTAATCATTAAAATCTGAAGATTATTATATTAAAGGTTCAAAACTAATATTTATGAATCTCCACACCTTGGTCTAATAATTGAAACTCTTGGTTAAATGACAATCACCTCTCGTAAATTACATGTTTAAATCCCATGGATAACATTTTTTCCTTCCCAAATTATCCTTGTTAAAAAAAAAATAATGCTTATGAAGTCTTTTTCTACAAATCAAACATACTACCAATTAACAAGAGATTAATTAAGATAGTTTTTATTAATTTAAAAAATTTGACGTAAGATTAATATTAAGGTTCAAAAGACTCCTGTAATGCCCAAATAAGTGAATAACTATATCTTGATGTATTAAGAAAAAATAAATCAAACAGAGTCAAAAGTTAGAAAAATAATGACCAAAAAAAAAAAAAAACCTTTTACAATGATTTAACATGTGACTGGAAGAGGCATACAATTTCCCAGAGCTCCAGGAGGGACAAACAATTGTACAATCTTTTTTG